TGTGAGTCTTCCTTTCATAAATTGAAGTATGCACTAACTCACTACCCTGTCCTAAAGATTGTTGACCCGTCCTTGCCTTTCATTGTTACCACTGACGCAAGTCAGTATGGGACTGGCGCTGTTTTCCAACAGGATGATGGCAAGGGCTATAGGCCCATAGAGTTTATGTCTACACGATTGCCGTCAAAGAAGGTTGCGAACTCCACCTACGAACGGGAACTTTATGCCTTAGTCTGTGCGTTAGATACGTGGAGACACTACCTGCTAGGGAGACACTTTACTGTGTATTCAGACCACTCAACACTACAGTGGATAAAAACACAGTCTAGACTCTCTGACAAGTTGGTAAGATGGTCTGCCTTCATTGACACCTTTGACTTTGAGCTCAAAACTATCAAAGGTAAGTCAAATGTGGTTGGAGATGCTTTATCCTGACGCAGTGACTTCTGTGGTACAATTGTCTCGTACTTGGATATTGGGAATGACTTAAGAGACCAAATTCGTCAAGGATACGCTACTGATCCAATTTGGAAGCCAATCATGGATGTCCATGTACGAGATCCTTCCCAATTACCAAACTATATAATAGCCGATGGTTTGCTTTTCTTGATAGACCAAACAGAACAAAGATTGTGTATTGCTCACCAAGAAAGAATTACGAGTATGCTGATTGGGGAATGTCACGACTTTAAAGGACATTTTGGATTCAAGAAAACTTACGGAGAGGTTAGAGAACGCTTCGAATGGAAGGGATTAAAAGAAATGTACTAACTTATGTACGTACCTGTTTAGTGTGTCAGAGAAACAAGCCGACGCATGAGAATCCTCTTGGACTTCTCAGGCCATTACCTATACCAAGCGAACTAGGTGAGTCCATCTCAATTGACTTCATGAGTCTGGTTAAAAGTCGTAACGGTAACAGTCAAGTAATGGTGATTGTGGACCGTTTCTCTAAATATGTCATGTTTATTCCCTTATCTATTGAAGCAAGGACTGAACTTGTGATCCAGAAATTTCAGATGAAATGGGTAACTGAGTATGGTTTTCCTTTATCCATTGTATCTGATCGAGATACCCGGTTCACAAGTATGCCATGGCAAAAGCTGATGGAGGCATACGACACACGGTTGACCATGTCGTCAGGGCGACACCCTGAAACAAATGGGCAAAGTGAACAAATGAACCGATTGTGCCAACAACTTCTGCGCATGTATGTAAGACCTGATCAAATTGATTGGGATGAGAACTTACCCAAGATAGCCAGTGCATATAATAGCAGTGTCCACACCGCTACAGGACGAACGCCTAATGCACTGCACAAGGGATGAAAACCTAGACGTCCCATTGATGTTTTTTTTTTTTTTTTTTTTTTTAAGAAAAAAGAAAAGGGATTACAACACTTATACACACGCCTCTTCCCATTAGGGCTGGAAGAGTCTCAGCCACTGCTCCGCTGGAGACAGCTTCCCTGCGTAACGTAAATATAGCATATTCGCGGGGCATTGATTGCTTCCCCAATGAGGAAGGATTAACCCCCTTGTGTGCCCTACGAAGCTCCTCAACTATCCCTACTTCAATCTTCTACGCAGTAAGGCATTGAGGAGTAGGGGAGATATCCATTAGGCAAAGAGATTGATAACAGGGCAAGGAAGTTTAATCATTCATTAGTAATTACGACAGGCTTCCCCTAAAAACAGCAATAGTTAACACAGACTCGAGCCCGAGGGGAGCACAGTAGTTGGAAGGACATTCTGGTCTATACGTGAAAACCATCAAACGAAGTAAAACCCTAACCAATGACGACCAATTTCACTGCTACCATCTCTTCTCTGAAGTTGGCCGTAGCAATATGCCCCCCTCAATCCTAATTAGCAGCACAACCGCACGAGAGAGGAAGGCGCTTTTGCGAAAGCAATTGAAAGCAATTGAGAACAAAATACACACGTAGTAGGACACAAATCAATCGAACGAATCGCATTAGCAGTCATGATGCCCAACACCACTGCATCTCCTGCCGTGCCACGTGGTAGAAATTTGTATTTATAGTAAAAAGAATATGCCCCCTAGCATACTGAAAAAAGGCCAAATCGCAATACCCACGTGGCAGAGCTAACATCAATCACATCAACAGCGTCGGTGCCGATCCTCACAACACCTCCTGCCCTGCCACGTGGGAAGTAAGAATCGCCGATTCCACATAAAAAATCACAGAACAGACACATCAGCAAACCCCGCGAGCCCTTTTGCCACGTGGTCAGAGTCAGATGCGCTGAAGCCCACCAATCAGAGACTACCCTATCCGACCAGGCAATCTGGCACTCACTATCCTACTCCTTCGCGCCTCCATCCCACTCTTTGCTCCCCCCCACACCCTTCCTCTTCACAACACCATCCATTTGACCGACCCACTCGTCCTTCCCCCCAATCAACACCGGAAGACCGGAAGAAGGAAAACGTGAGGGGAGGGACTGGGGGGGGAGGAAGAGAACAACCAGTCGCACTTACCCCACCGTCTGTGTTGTTATTGTAGTTGTAGTTGTTGTTGTTGTTGTGGTTGTTGTGGTTGTTGTGGTTGTTGTCACTCCCGGTCTTGCACGAACTCAGGATCGCTTCTTCCATGCCACTGTCGTGCATTGTATTATTGTTGTTCGTATAGTTGTTGTTGATGTAGTTGGTGGCCTGAGCAGATGTCAGCGTTAACACGGGACCAATTCCTTAGGCTACCTCCAGGGACACGAGAATATGCAGTTTTATTTCAAGAAGACATAAAGAAAGTAAAAGAAAACTTAAAGAAAGCTCAAGACCAAATGATTGAACAAGCTAATAAGCATAGAAGACCATCCACATTTAAAGAGGGTGATCTGTTCTGGGTTAAATCCAAAAAGTTTTCATTAGAAGAAGATGTATCTCAAAAACTGCTGCCTGTCTACTTTGGACCCTGGGAAGTTCTCAAAGTAATTGGAGATGCGGAGGGACCGTCTTATCGCATTGATATTCCCCCTCATCTCAAAACATATCCTGTGCTTCACGCGTCCAAACTGTTGCCCTATGTAGAAGGGAAATAATTTCCTAACAGACCCTCTATGATTCCGCCATCTATGGAAGACAGATATGAAGTAGAAAAAATCATAGAGCATGGATACTTCTCTACGGGAGCACGTGGACGACCCCAGAAGCAGTTCAAGGTACGTTTTAAATCTCAGACACTATCTGAGGACAGATGGTTTAGTAAACGGGAACTACTTGAAACTGCTCCTGATATTGTCGTTGCTTATGAACGAGGGTTAAAGTCTTGAATATTTCCGCGGTGGAACTCGAAAATGGGCCGGCAGGAATGCAGTAACCCTGTTCAGAAGTAGCCTGGGGCCCAGAACTCATCCCCAGGCAACGCAGATCTGAGTCGGTCTGTACTGGGCTGTGTGACCAAGACACACCCAGGCCTGAGTCTGCTGCGTTTGGCTGTGTGACCAAACGCTGCACACTGGAAATTCAAGGGTCAAAATCAACTGTAGAGTCAAAGGTACCGCGCCCAGGCCCTTGGGTGGATACACTCACTTGTTGTGCGCAGGTACCCAGACAGCATCCAGGCTGGAGAGAATTCAGTTTCAGACCAATCTGGGCCCTCGTTTGCATTGAGATCTGGACGGCTGAGGGATGCAGCATCCGGGGTCCATACCCCGTGTCAATGCTACATAAGCGCTGACTTCCTGCTTTGACATTCATTCATTCTGTCTTGCGTCAATGCTGACTTCACGCGTTGACGACACGACACTGGCTTGACGCTGCGACGCTGGTGGACGCTGGCTTTGTGCTGGCATTTGGGAGATTTGCGGCGACGCGCTGCTAGCTCGGCATGGTGGCTGGCTGGCTGCTGTCTTCAGGGCATGCTGACGTGGCAGCTGCCACGCGTTGTTGCTGACRTGGCTGYKGCCACGTGTTCTACTGCTGGGACTATATGACCGGCACTGCTGTTCTGCTTCATCGTCACTTCAGGAGGAGATCAGGACTGTGGAGAGATCGTGGATACGTACCTGGTTGTCTTCATGTCGACATGGCTCCAGCGMTGATGAGAGACTGCTAGACGTGCCACGTGGCACACTGTAGTAGGACTTCGGATATGCGTTCAGACTATTGATTATTTAAGGTGGTGATCGAGGAGGGAGCCCGAAGCAGGAGTGGGCCTTGTATTATTCCTCTCCTTTGTCTAATCTCCCTCCTCTCTCCTTCGTCTGTGTATGATTATCTCATCTCATTCTTTCTGGACATGATTTTGATTATTGGTAATCATCAGCCGATTGACATTTATCTGGGCTTGCATTGTTGACGACTGTCTTCACGATCTGGGTTCACTGCTCCATGTTGCTTGCTGCGGTAGAGGTGAACTGTTTCATAGTTGGAATGCTGCTCCACGTAACCTGCTATAGACGTAACCTGTTTCATTGTTGAGATTAAAACACCTCCTGGGAAAGCTTCTCGACCTGGTGGTCGACGTAACAATAATGACATTTGTCGATAATACTCGATATGCCACTGATTGTTTACTTGGATCATGCTTCTCGACCTGGTGGTCGACGTAACAATAATGGCATTGCCGCATTTGTCGATATGCCACTGATTGTTTACTTGGATCATCATAGATGATTAGAGCTTGCATTCCGTTGTCTTGGAAACATTCTCCCATAGCACAACCTGCATAGGGAGCAAGAAATTCAAGATCTGCAATACGCCCACATGCCCGCACCTGTTCTCTACTTGTTGCGGAGAATGAAGTGGCCCCAAGGATCATTTGTGAAAATAATGAATACCCATATCTGAAACAGTCAGGGTATGCAAGGAAGCCCAAGATGAGTGGTTAACCTCTTCTGGATGTGCTGACGTGATTTGATTTAATCTTACTGCTGGAACCCGTCGCTCTTGCGATTGCAGATCATCTCTGGATTGCAAGCGAAGACCATCTACAGGAAATTGACGTGTTTGGGAAAACATGGTCACCAATTATTCATGCATCCATTTACGAGTACTCATGGCGAGACTGTGCACTGACGCACAGACATGGGACAAAAGAGTAGCAGTTCGACTCAGCATCATCCCATCTCTGTCTACCTGTTACTCCTGTTTTCGCTTCACTTCCTCCCCATGCGTACCTATCTGACCTCATTTTCCCCAGGCCTATATTGTCCTCCGCATGAGCAAATGGCGTAGGTTCGTCTTTCTTTCTCCTAACAAAGACATGAAGGCAGAGAGAGAGAGAGAGAGAGAGAGAGAGAGAGAGAGAGAGAGAGAGAGAGGGTTTGTTCCCTTGTGGCGATACAAGTTCAGTTGGAAACCTCTGTGTCTGCTGGTCAGTTGGCAAACCCCATGTCCGCTGATCTGTGATCTGGAATTCTCACGTCTGCTACTCGTGATTTGCCAATCCGGTTCTTTTTGTGCGTGTTTGCTGCTCTGTTTGTCGGTTAGGCTGACCACAAAATGTACTTTTGTCCTACGTGTCCACTGCTTGACTGCTGTTCTTGGCCATCATTCTTACCACATTGCGTTCTTGTACAATGGATGTAGAACAGTTTAGTGCTCAAAATTGTCACTCCGGTAGAATAATTCTCAGGTCCGCAATTCGTGATTCACCAATCCTCGTTTTGTCGTGCGAGTTCGTTGGTCTGTTTGTTGGTTAGGCTGACCACGAAATGTACATTTGTTCCAGGTCTCCACTGCTCGGTTGCTGTTTTTGGCCATCATACTGACCTCATTGTATTGGTGTACAATGAACATAGGACAGTTGAGTAATCTAAATTGTCATTCAGGTAGAATAAAGACAAGGTGTACAGGGAAGCGGACTGTATTGTGTTGTTAACATCTCCGTGTTGGCTAGCGTGTCTTAAAAGTTTTGGATTCGCTGTTTGCCTCTGTTCATGCCTCTTCAGGGGGGGTAGCCCCTAAACATCGTTGGATTATGGGGGATGCGAACTCTGAACCTGTTGTTTTTATAGTAAATTATGCTTTGACCCATACTATTCTAAGAAGTTTAACCTCTGTACCTGTTGAACAGTTAGTACAAGTTGTGTTTATCACGACATTGCCACTTCAAAATGTATGGAGTTCTAGAGGTTGCTGATGTCTTTCAGAGAGTGGACCCAGAAACACATCACTTATTCAAGCGGGATTTGAGCTCTTAACTTTGTTGATACAACAGTCAGTAAGTTGTCTTTAGCAATCAGCCATCTAGCAGGTTGCTGAGGACCACCTGAGAGTATGCAAAGTTCTAGGGACCAGTAATATATCTTTTAGGGGGTTAACCCCTAAACAACAGTGTTGCCAGCGGGATTTGAACTCTGAAGCCGTTGATCACTTGTAACTTGTATTTTGTCATTGTGCAATCTAGCAGGTTGCTCAGGACCACCTCAGAATGTGCAAAACTCTAGACACCTGTGATGTCTTTCTGGGCACTAGTGCCGAAACACCATTGTATCCAGCAGGATTTGAACTCTGAACCTGTTTCCTGTTGATTCACTAAAATCTTGTTCAGGCTCTATCCCAAGGGGTGCACTATAGTCCGCAAACTCTGTAAATAGTTGCGAGCTCTTGACAGACAGTTCGTGAAACCCCGGGGGGCGTACTATAGTTGGCTGACTCTGTAAAGAGTCGCGAGCTCTTGACACAGAGTTCGTGAATACAATAGGTATTAAAACAAGAACTGCTGACTCTATCAATCAGAATAAAGAGGAGATGGGCATGCTGGCTGAATGCGAAGGTTCGCTTGTTGCAAAGCTCTGTAAGAACTATCGTCAAGTGTGTCACAGTTCAGTTGCCGTGCAAGGTCGATATTACAGGTTTTTCTGAATCTGCCTATTTTGCCCCTGGCTCAGGAGATGGGAGAAGCAAGGACATGAGGATTCCAAATATATGGTCACGTTTGACTCAGCCTCTGCTTTCAATCTCTCTCTCTCTCTCTCTCTCTCTCTCTCTCTCTCTCTCTCTCTCTCTCTCTCT